TCCCTGAAATTATTAGTCTCTATTTATATTTAAATGACAACGACTCCTTATTAATTTTATATTATTGATCATTAAACCATATGAAACTGTTTCTCTTATTCCTACCCGGTTTAGACTTTTCCCGATCTGTTGATTATTTTTAATAGTCAACGTGTGGTTCGTTTGATCTCAGCTCTTAATTGGTCAAAATTCAAGTATGACGTATTTCCTCGCTTTCCTATGAATTTTCTATTAGACCTTTTCAACAATTGTCTATACCTACAGTTGAGAACGACTACGACAGGTGAGATATGAGGGGTCGTCTCAAAAATAAAATTGAAAAAAATATTATTGATCGCATATGATTATTTTGATTGCCAATGAGACCACTATCCAACATGACGTGTATATAAGCAATTGTTGTGTACCGTACCTTATTTTGTTTATTAGGTATTTGTTTATCAAAACTAAATTTATTTGTGAATTGACTATGAAGAAAAGGAAAGACTTCAATGTTTCATTTCTTTTAGACGTCGAGTTGAAAAATGAAAAAAAAAAAAAAAAAAAAAAATACCTGTATTTTTGTAGTAGATGTTTAATTAATCAATGTTTTATATCTGTTGACTAGGGTGGTACATGTTTCTACAATGTCTGTTAATTTTGGCTTTCAATGTCTCAATGGTACTCATAACAAAATAGATACCAAGATTTTTAAAGGCCCTTGGTGTCTCTTCTGATTCAGATTCAGATTCAAATCGTAAGCTTTTTTTTTGTCGTTCTCTTGCTATTTTTATGACTTCTGCAGTAGGAAAAAAAATCACACAATGCAACATATAAAACAGACATTCAGTTACCGCATAGTCTGCATTTTGGTTAAAGACCCCAATCTCCACCCCACCCCCACCACCACCCCCCCCCCCCCCAAAAAAAGAAAAAAAAAGGAAACAAAGTTACTATCTTTGATCTAATAAAAAGGAAATAAATATGAGAGCGAAGCATGATGTCAAAATATCAAATTGTAAACTAAATATATTCTAATTGTGACAAAAACTTACCAATTGCAATGACCAACTTGTTTAGGAATTGTTTCAGGCGCATAAAACATGCGGCGGGGTTTCACTGGGATCTTAAATCTCCCCTATGTATGGTCAGAGATGAAATTTAAAAACCTTTATGCATGGAAAAAATAGAAAAGAGTAGAAAACCAAAGCTTTGTCCTGAAAAGGGGAAGGGTAAGCAGTTCTCGCTTCTTGCAAGACACACGAAGGTCATTTTTCAGGAACAGGGAAAGGAAAGGAAAGGAATCTACGACGGGGGAAAAGGTATGTTCACGTCTTTCGGGACACGGACAACCTATAACGGTCAATCAGTTCGGCGCTGTCAAAAAGACACTGCAATGACAACAAGCTCTGTTGGGATATAAATACCATACGCATCACTGAAGAGACATTAATTGTAAAAATGCGCATGTGGCGCAGAAAAAAATGGTGCCGTTAATGTTTCCAGTTAATTCATTAAGGAAACATCTCAATTTTAACATGGTATCTTAAAGCGGAGTAGTCTCTCGTAACTAAATTATCGATGTGGCCTTTTCCTTTGACCTTTAAACAAATAGGCTTTTATCCCTCCGAAAATTGAATGTGTACAACAAGTGACGTGAAGATCGGTTGAGAAACACAACTCTAGCGGACGGACGGTAGTCCTGTTACAATGTTCCTTCAGCAAATTTCATAAATAGCATTACAAAAGCGAATTAATAAATTCAACGTAAAATGTCGTATAACTACATGTAATAAGAATGCTATACAAAAGAGAGAGATATAGTTCATATTTGTTTGAAATATGTTCTTTCGTCAAAATAGTGTAAAACGATAAATCGAAGGTGTAAAAGTAATTACCGGTATACTATTCATGAATGATTTTTAGTTTTGAGACGACCCCTTCATTTTACCTGTAAACTGTAGGTGTCATTAGTCGGTGTCGAGAGTTATTGAAACGGTCTATTGTGAAGTCACGAAAAAGGGCGAACATGCCTAACACAGTCACATATAAAAACATGTCTTTTTGTAGATCATTAAAAAAGGAAAGATAAAGTTTGCCTATCGTAAAAAAAAAAAAACATTAAAGAAACAGATTCCACCAGGGCATCTCGTGAATTACGATATTTCTCCACTCTCGACAGCAAAATTTTAGATATTAAAAAAGTTCTGCAAGCCTCGCGTTTAAAATATGAAAATTTAACCGTCTCGAGTGAACTGATATCGTATCACACTCGCTACAGTGGTAGAATCTATATATACCGATAGTTTGATATCCAAGATGGCCACTACAATAATTGTAGCGTAGGAGTAGAGAAAAAATAACTCATATTTTACATAGAAATTTCTTAATGATAATTCAATACTAAAATAAGCCAAGTTTAAAATAGAAAAACAATTTATTTCCATTTATTTCCTTAGATAAGTAAAATCAGAATTAATTTTTAAGATTAGATAACCAAAATTATTAATTTCTTCAATAAATTGTGCTGAAAGGTGAAAGTATTAAAATCATTTCAAATCTACGAAATAGTTCACAGGCATGCAATCCATTGTCATTTAAAATAAATAAAATACAAAAAACTGTTAACAAACGATGTATTTTTTTTATTTGTTTTAATAGCAAAGAAAAACAATGGCGATGTTTTTTCAGAATATATTCTACAAAAGTAATCCTCTCATATGTTATAATATATATAATTATATTGTAAAGTTTCTTCCTATTACACCCATACACAACCGTTGCAACATATGTGGATTTCTTTACGGCCAGTATCTCGAAAACAAATTTGAGCTCGTTAAACGTAACGTCGATACGGTATGATATTGTTTATAGTTTTTTTGTTTTTTTTTTTTTTTATGTAATAGTGTTTTTCTATAATACAGTATTTAAGAGCCATTCGCTTTTTCTGTACTCGGTGTATGTTTATATATGTATAGACCTTTTTTACTCCACTGCTTAGGATTAAAAGGGGGAGGGTTCAGGTCTTATAGTCAGGTACCTGTTCTGAGTCAGAAACCTTGTCAGTGTTTTCTTATGTCATTTTGTTCATTTTAACCCTCGGAATGATTGAGAGTTTGTTTTCATATGAAACGGATATATGTCTTTTGTTGTATGGTATGTTGACCTCGAGATGTATGGTGGTTATTTGTAACGTAAGGTTTAACTATTACATTGACCACCGTATGGCAACGACACCAGATATTGGTACTAGCTGAAACGGAAATAAGTTGTAAAATGCAGGCTGTCGTACATATCAAATACATAAGTTGCCGTACACTATCGAAACGTTGTCTTTGTGATTTACAAAACTTTTAAAGACAACTTATGAAAATGATTGTCTTGTGTATTTATAGTGGGTCGTGTACTCGTTCTATGAACCACACATTTATTTATTTTGTAAAAAATATTTCCGGACTACTAACAACAAAATTATTATATTTAAATTTACCTGTGTACGTTATTTTATTTTACGCCATTTTGTCCCAGGTTAGAGTTGTCTTTTTGACATTGTTTTACGTCCCGTTTTTTTTATTGATATTGTATTTATATTGTGTCATAGATCAAATTTATTCGTTCAGTGTGTGTTTACTTGTTTTTGTTAATATGTCTTTTTGATCAAGTTAAGTCACTTCAATTGATATTTTATAGTGTGTCTTTCTATGTTGTAATGTTACACTACTGTTTCGGGTTAGGGTAAGGTTGGCGCTTGTTAAAACGTTTTAACCCGCTGCATTTGTTTGCACCTGTCCTAAGTCAGGAGCCTGTTGTTCAGTGGTTGTCGTTTGTTGATGTGGTTCATAAGTGTTTCTCGTTTCTCGTTTTTTATATAGATTAGATAGTTGGTTTTCCTGTTTGAATTGTTTTACACGTGTCATTTTGGGGCCTATTAGCTTGCTATTCGGTATGAGCCGAGGTTCCGTGTTGAAGGCCGTACTTTGACCTACGTTTACGTTTTACACATTGTGACTTGGGTGGAGAGTTGTCTCATTGGCAATAATACCACATCTTCTTATTTCTTTCTACATAATTGAATAATACGAAGAAATATCCAATCTTTTGAAGCATTAAACCGGTTACTTTTCTTGATCTGAAGTAATCGGTGCCTCTTTTTTCGGGTACTAGATGGTAGTTTTTATCTTTATCTCCAGATTTAATTTCCGATTATGTCTAACATTCCTCAATGATTTGGAGACCAGGACAATTTCCAACATATCATTATTCAAATCTTTCGACACGGGAAATGATTACAAATGCATAAAAACTTCTTATCTGTGATAACAAAATTTTACAACTTCTCTCCGCTTCAGCTACTACCAATATCCGGCGTCGCTCCAATATGGTGTTGACATATGACCAACATCTCCTTTTATTTATATCGGTAATACGTTTTTATTTCAGATAGGGAAATAATATATAAACCATATCTCTACAAACTATGTAACTTCTACCACTTTTTGTTTGGAAGTAAATATCACGGTACCTAAATGATCAAAGTACTGGGACCACACAGGTCAACATCTGGCTCTAAATTTATCATATCATATCAAAAACCAATATTTTTGATCTAAATATTCAAACTTAGATAAAACTAAACATTATTCTGTATACAGTTTCTTTAAGACAATGTTGACAGCTTTAAAAGTATGGTATTGTATCAGTTTTATGGTATATTTCCTTTTGAAGATCATTGGCCATACCCTTTGAATAAAGTGAATTTGCACTTTTTGTCTCTTCTCATTTTGCATTTTAAGGTCTTAAAGACTATTTCTACTAAAAAAAAATCATTGGCCACGCTTGGCCACGCCCTTCTAACAAATTAAATTTGCTATCAAAAGATGTATATGCATTGGGTAAGTTCAGGGGTAGAATTTAAGCTTTTTGTGCACTGGCCAGCCGGACCAGTGGACTGAAAAATCTACTGGTGCGGCTCCAAATCTACTGGTCCTGCAAAAATGACATTCATTTAACAAACACTAATATAAATGATAGATGTTTACTTTTATTTTCATGCTTTCTTTTACATATGTTAGACAAGAAAAAGAGAGAGTGTTGATTCTGATTTTGATAAAGGCTTTGATAATCTCAATAATTTTCTTTATCAAAATCAGGACCAAGGACAGAAAAAATGTCAGCATTGTCTTCCACGTCATCACAATCCTCACGACGACCATAGGGTGCCTGACTGGGTCGTCTGGAGCGCTGTCCAGAAATGTTCCACATTTCAATAGCCGGGACCGGATCAAATGATGCTATATCTTCAGTGTGAATCATTATGAATAATAGATCTGACAAAACAGTTGGACGCAATTTTGATCGCCAATCATTCTTAACAAGTTTTTGTCAGAAAACCCCCTTTCTGCATCAGCAGAATGAGCAGGAAGGGAAAGAATTATATCCATAAGTCCTAGAATGTTCAAAAAGTCAGTGGCACCACCTTGGTTAACATCACTCCATTTAAGGGACGACACATCTTTGAACCTGGTAAAATAAAAAATAAGTCAACGAGATTCCCGTTGATTTTTTGTGCTGTTCTGATTGTTCATGAGCAAGTACAGAATCTAACTTAAAATTTGAAGATCCCGTTACAAAAATTCATAACTATCTAGGTCTGTCACTGCAAATTTTTCACATGTTATACAATTCATTACATTGTGATCGACTATATAATATAACCATTCGCGATCTTTTTCCCAGGATTTTTTATATTAACGTTTCCTTTTGTCAATTTCATAAACTTTATTCCGATCTTCGTTTTGAATGTCACTTTAATATTTTAATTTTTTTGTCCGGCGGTTTAACGCCTTCCAAAAATTTCCACATTTTGTGTTGTTGTGAAGGACGCTCACCCGAGATATTAATTAACTTGATCAATTGTAATACTTAGTACCCCCCAGTACCGTGTAGTTGATTTCGAAGGTAATTTTTTTTGTAAACAAACCGAGATTGCGATGCAATCAGTGATTTTTATCGACAAATTTCTACTGGTCCGCCGGACCACCAGCTGACAAAATCTACTGGTCCGACGCAAATTCTACTGGTCTCGGACCACTGGACCAGCGCTAATTTCGACCCCTGAACCGTAAGATACATATCATAACAGACAATTTTGGTGGTCCATTCATGTGGTCAGTGTCTTAGAAAGAAAAAAAAATGAAATAAAAAAATTAGCCTAAACTAAGTCAAAAAGAATGATTTTCATCACAAGAGCGCACAATTGTGAAGTCATAATAACATCATTGCTTTTGCCGTTCGTCCAAGTTGTTTTTGTATCAGACTCTGTCTTCGAATGAATTATATAATAACTAGAGTTAAATTTAATGGAATTAATAGGACCAATATTGACCTTTCGTCAACCTTCTCCTTTGCTTTAGGGAAAGTATGACCCGACAATTGTTCGTTCAAAGTTCACTTTTACGATTTTGTATATTTTTGTAGTTCGTGCTTTTTATTTTCATTCCGAGTCGTCATTGGTTTTTAATAATTCAATAGTTTATTGTATAGTACACTATTCAAAAGTAACTTGTATTTTACACTTAACTATAATCCATTCATTTAAATTAATTATCAAAGATTTATATCCGTCTTTATGATAAAAGATCGTGTAACAAAGAATATAGATAAATTGACATTAAGTGATAACTGCCGAAAGCCATTCTTCACAAACTTATACGAAACATGTTTTCAATCCGTTATCCCCTCTTTCGGCAAAACGCGATTTATAGTATTTGATAAAAAGATATTTTGATTGGTTCATTTTACGCATGTCAATCAGTCTTTTGAAATTGTATTTTATATATGTTTTTATGTTGTTATCCAGTTATGTTTTAATGATTGAAATATATGGATGCGAAATAAATGTGTACACTTTCCAGCGACTTAGACTTTATTTAAGATACAGTTAGTTTCCCCCCGAAACTAATTTATATGACAGAGGTGACCAATAACCTGGTCATATGGTGCCCGGGTCCTCCACCACATATGAACAGGTTATTGGTCACCTCTGTCATATATATTAGTTTACATATTTATTTCGCATCCATATATTTCAATCATTAAAACATAACTGGATAACAACATAAAAACATATATAAAATACCATTTCAAAAGACTGATTGACATGCGTAATATGAACCAATCAAAATATCTTTTTATCAAATATTATAAATCGCGTTTTGCCGAAAGCGGGGAGTACGGATTGAAAACATGTTTCGTATAAGTTTGTGAAGAATGGCTTTCGGCAGTTATCACTTAATGTCAATTTATCTATATTCTTTGTTACACGATCTTTTATCATAAAGACGGATATAAATCTTTGATAATTAATTTAAATGAATGGATTATAGTTAAGTGTAAAATACAAGTTACTTTTGAATAGTGTACTATACAATAAACTGTTGAATTATTAAAAACCAATGACGACTCGGAATGATAATAAAAAGCACGAACTACAAAAATATACAAAATCCTAAAAGTGAACTTTGAACGAACAATTGTCGGGTCATAAAAGCACCAAAGTCCAAACTATCTCTCAGAGCAATTTGCATGGGGATTTTTATTATGTTTGGATATTGTAAGAATTTGAACACGAGGGAAAGTCGAAAAGCTAAAGTTTTCGAAACTATACATTAGGTTAAATAATCCTCATCTACTCATATCAAAAATTGATTTTAAACAACATCGTACTAATCGAACTTATCACTTAACATTATTAGTACTACCGAACTAATGGAAAACTATAATTATTAAACTTCGACCAATTTATGGCGACTAAAAGCTTTATACCAACGTTGTTTTGATCGTTTGTCATAGGCCGTGTTTGTACATAGAATTCCACGAAATCATCATCAAAAAGCTGCACAACAATCTGCCATTTTGTTTAAATTAACATGTTAATAAAACATGACTTGTCCAATTGAATTTTTCTGTTACAATAAAACCAATACACTTTTGATTAAGTTATACATATATAAAATGATTGAATTCTCACACAGCTAGAAGCAGTATGTGGCATTCAACATTATTATACTCAAATATTGTCAACATTACCCTTTCAAGTTTAGATTTCCTATAATACTCTCGAAGTGACTATCAAAATTAGTATATTTTTTGTAAAAAAATCATCTTATGATTTAAAGAACGGTATTTTGTTTAATGTATTGTTGCCTTTAATAGCTTACTATACGGTCAGGGTGTTGCTCATTGTTGAAGGTCGTATCAACATGTCAATCTTTTTCTTCTCCTTCTTTATTTATACAATATACCATCGACTTCGATTATTACATAATGTTGCATACATGTACTAATTAGTAAATTTTATCCCAAATTAAACAGAAAATTACATTTTAGTGCAATGATTAGAAATATATACTTTAAGCTTTTAAACAATAAAGTAGAGAACAACAAAAGTGAGCTGTTTTCTGAAACTATCAACTGTTTTGACTAAATAAGTAATGCAGGAAGCTGGTTTTACTGTGATATTGTGTATGGAAAATATGAGTGTCAGTCTGAGTCTTTGGATGTATGTACGTGCTTATATGTGATTGTGTGGGTATTCCTGGTTCCCAAGTCTGCTAGTATATGATGTATATGAAATAGCAACAAGATGGTATATTACCTTGTTCATCACTATATTACCAATCTTGTGCGAAAGCATATTGGATACACTACTGGTATTGTGGTATCTGTTGCAGCTATTTTGATGTTGTTTGACCATCTCAATATTGGATACCGATCCGGTTGTATGAGGATCCCAAACAAAAAAAATACATTGAAGTCAAAAAGTCAAACTCGTTAAAAACTACAAACGCGACTTATCCAAGCTTTTAACTGATGCTGACAAAAACTTTTCATCTCCACGGGTGTTCGTTTAATGTATGTATGAAAAGAATTCAAAGTACATCAAGATTTTTTTAACCTTAATTGATATTTGATATATAGTCATGCAATGCTATATACATATGATATGTAATATATAATTCTTTGTAGATTTAACCTTTCCCCCGACCGGTTAATTATTTTTTTATAATCAACGTGTGATTTGTTTGATCTCAGTTCTCCGTTGGTCAAAATTCAAAAGATGACGTCAATTGTCCTTGCTTTCCTCTGACGTCCACGATAAAATGCGACCATGTCTAATGAAGTCAAATAGAAAAAAACACATCTTTTTTGCAGATAGTTGAAAAAGATAAATAAAATTTGACTACGTATCGTCTTAAAATCTTATGAGAAACAGATTCCTCAACCGAAGCTTGGCAAGTCTCGCGTTTAAAATTTTAAAATTTAACTGTCTCGACTATAGAAATATCGAATCACACTAGATGCTGTGATAGAATCTATATAATTTTGTTCATACCTGTGTGTGTAGTGGGGTGAAAACTCTATTATTATCCTTCGATTGAACTACCATGACAATCCACGTAACTGTAATGCAGTTTGTGTCCTGACTAGGCACTTTTTGTTTAAAAAAAAGACAAATTACATGTAAGCTTGCTAAACAAAAATGTGAGGATTTTGATGTGTAGTATGTTTGTACATCATCTCAAGACAATGTGTCACGTCCTATTTTGAAATGATCTCTGACCTTGACTTTTAACATTAACGGTTAAATACATGTAGTTGATTTTTGTGTGACATTTTATTTAGTCTTGGTAATATCTTTTGTATCCTTTGACATTGGCATTTCTATATAATTTGAGTGTGGTTGCATAATCTCATAACAAATTCTTCCATACTAAAACAAATGCAAGTATAGCACTGGAATGTGTTGGTTGTTTCTTTTCTTTACTGGAGAGATTAATCCAGGAGAATAGAAACATATGATTAAATCCAACAAATGAGTTCCTCCTAGTTTTTCTCCTGAAAATAATTCAACCTACGTCACTGGGATCGCAAAACGTATAATTATCTATGTTAAGGTCAAGTTACAATTAGAAAAATATATGTAATGGATTTAGAGAAAAGAGTATTCAAAAATTATTTTGACAGCGTCTTTGTTAGATTTTATGTACATTAGACAATCACGCATGTTGTATTATTTTGAGGATTTTAATCATTATACGTTTCAACAAGAACATTGTATAACAGTTACGTGAATTGTTGTTTTCGGTTTTAAGTTCAACGTGTAAAAGTTATATGCAAAACTTAAACAAAATCTGTGAAATAGCCAGTTCACTGTTACTTTACCTGAAATGTTATTGCTACAAGTGGTTGGATATCTCTGCTGGTAGACTGTTTGTCCCCGAGGGTATCACATGCCCGGTATAGTCAGTTTTTCGGCACAAGCATGAAAATACATATATCCTTTATTGAAATTGGTTGTCATAAATTTTGAAATCAATTTAAATTATGGGATGTATCTCCTCATGCAAAGCTCTGGTGCTCTTGATGGGCTTTGCTTTTGTACCTTTCTTTGCTTTATTAGCTCTCCAACATTTAAATAAGGTTTAGAATTTTCAAATATTTTGGTTTGCATCACTGAACAGACCTTAATTGTCGAACTGCGTATTTAGTACCATTAATGTTATTACTACCACTAAGTATTCGATACCTTTGCTGGTGAACTGTTAGTCAACTGGGGTATCAGCAACTGAGAAGACAGTAGTCTAGTACTGAGTGAAAATTTAATATCATTTTTTTTATTGAAATCTGCTGTTATAATTTTTTTTTTCAATTAAGGAATGTAGTAAAGGTTCGATTCCTTTTTCCGGGTTTTGCTTTACTTTTTGTCCTTTTTCTTGATGTTACCATCTCTTCAGTGTTTATATTAGGGAAACAAATGTGTATAAGGTTTAGGATTTTCAAATATTTTGGCCTCGAGCATCGCTTTAGAAACATTAATTTTCGAAGTTTGCATCTATGTAGAAAGAAGAGGCGGAAGACACCAAGGGAAGTTCAACGTTAAAAAGTAGAAGAAAAACACGACAACGCCATGGCTAAAAACAAATACGACGAAAATATGAAAAGTCCACAAAATACCATATAGAAAACCAAAGACTGAGCAACATTAACTCCACCAAAAAACCAGGTAGAACTCAGGTGCAGCGTCGTGTTGCTCATGTAAGTACAAATCGGATGAAAAGTCTCATTTTGGTGATGTCACAATCGAGGAAAAGAGAACATGATTGCGGAAACGACAATTGGAACTTATCCGTGGTCATCTTGGGGAAAATCTTCTAAGTTGTAATTTAATTGTCGTTACAACTGATATCACATCACTATTGACTATATGGAAGAATCGCCTCTTATTTAATAATTTATTTTGTTTGGTTTCATTGTCAAATCATGCAGCGTTTGCTGAAAATAAAAACACTATCATACAAGTGTAAACATATCAATAATACGTAACATATATATTTTACATGATTGATTCAAGTCATTGCCTTTTTATAAAAGCGTGTTTTCACTTAAGTTGAAAATGTTTTGTTTCATTTAGATGTGTTATGAACAAATGTATCTGCTGTTTTCGAAAGCAGAAAAAATAATTCTAAAAGCATGAAATTTGTTGTGGAATATTGGAAAATGAAAAAATTGTAATAAAATAGTGAATATCAATTTACAAATAAAATGAATTCATTGTGCACTAAAAAATGAAGTATTTCATTTTTTATCAGATTACTAACTTTTGTCCGTACCTAATGATGGTCATTCCAGAAACGCGCGTTGAGTGCACTGAAATAAACATACTTCATGATTGCACTGGCATAAACACGGGTATGCATCTTACTAAAATAAACACGTGTTGAGTGCACTGAAATAAACATACGTCATGATTGCACTGGCATAAACACCTGTCTGCATCTTACTTAAATAAACACGCCTTGATCGCACTAAAATAACATACTTCATGATTGCACTGGCATAAACACGGGTCTGTATCTTACTAAAATAAACACGCGTTGATCGCACTGAAATAAACATACATCATGATTGCACTTGCATAAACACGGGTCTGCATCTTACTAAAATAAACACGCGTTGATCGCACTGAAATAAACATACGTCATGATTGTACTGACATAAACACGGGTCTTCATTGTACTTAAATAAACACAGTCACGTTGATCGCACTGAAATAAACATACATCATGATTGCACTGGCATAAACACGGGTCTGCATCTTACTAAAATAAACACGCGTTGATCGGACTGAAACAAACATACGTCATGATTGCACTGGCATAAACACGGATCTTCATCGTACTTAAATAAACACGCGTTGATCGCACTGAAATAAACATACGTCATGATTGCACTGGCATAAACACGTGTCTGTATCTTACTAAAATAAACACGCGTTGATCGCACTGAAATAAACATACGTCATGATTGCACTGGCATAAACACGGGTCTTCATCGTACTTAAATAAACACGCGTTGATCGCACTAAAATAAACATACGTCATGATTGCCCTGGCATAAACACGGGTCTTTATCTTACTAAAATAAACACGCGTTGAGGGCACTGAAATAAACATACGTCTTAATTGCACTGACAGAAACACGGTTCTTTATCGTACAAAAATGTACACATTAGTGTATTTAGCACACTAAAATAAGCACAAATCTTGATCGTACCATATTGATTTTTTATGTCCAGTACATTTGAGGTGTAGTTAAACAGTAAAAATGAAGTCGAAAAACGACGACACTTTCATCAGTATGATCTCAGGAATTTGAAAATATTCTTTTGGAAACATAATTACAGTTGAATGTATTTTTAATAGGTACACAGCTTAAGATTTTGGAGGCAACAAGTAAAACTCTACGAAATAAGGTGATTAAAATAAGTAACAGATATTTTCTATTTGAGTCCATGAGGCTACATGTATTCCATTATCATGTCCTACAACGTTCTGCTGACATCATGAGATTTATGTTTGAGCAGTCTGTAATGATTAGCATGTTATGATGTCGTGCCAAGGAAATATTTACATTTGTTTAACTCATTTATCTCGTGTCTGTTATCAGAACACACAAAAAGGTTACTTTTAAGTTAATTTTTTATCTTCACTTCATTATCTGTGCTTGATGCGGATAAAAAAATCTTTTGATCTACAACGTTACATTGCAGAATAGTGTTTGCTGAATCTTAATGCAAGTTGTGTTAGCAATTGTTATTATTAAAATAACCATTGACCATAGATTAAATTTGTTTGATGAAAGTGAATTTTGTACATTGTAACGACGGGTTAATCGTCACTTGGCCTTTATACTGATAGGTATACACTCGATTTCACGCTAGTGATGTTCTCGGAGCTACAAAATTAACTTTTTTTTTACTCAGAAATTCTCGATCTATGCTTTTCAACTTCAGATTGTTTACATTTTACCTTTTTTTGAACTATTGCAGATATAAAAATAACCTCATAATTACTGCTGACTTTCGTCAACGACATAAGAGAGACAAAATTGACTTTTACCATTAACCATTGTCTATTGAGAAACTTTACTTGTCTTCCCCCCAGCGGGTCTTCGACAGCCCTCATTTAGAATCAAACTAATGCAGACATTTATTTTGGGTTTGTATCTAATTCTATTTTTTTCATACATATATGAACAATATAAGATAGGCAACTACTTTTATGAGCTAAATACGTATGATGATAATAATGTCTATTCCACGATGCTTGCTGGATTTTTATTGTCGTTTGCTTGACGTCTAACCGCAAATATTTCATTCATATTCAGGACGAGAACAAATCAACAATAATTCCAATAAGGTTCTGCAAAATGGGTTGACCAGTTTGAAAAAGGGGAATTTCGACTGTTACTGGAAAATAAGGATGTGTTGGATAGTAGCAGAAATTTTGCTATGCAGCAGCAAGCCTTAAAAAAAGCATAAAAGAGTAGTTTCATGGGTTCTTGAACGTGCAGGAGGCGTGTCATTATCCTGCAAGATGCCTCAAACTTAATGGTCAGTTCCATCCCAACCGTGACTGCGTATTCATACATCCAAACAGACGCCTTTCTTTAGCAAGGATTTAACTGTTGGTTTGTAGAGATCCTTGTAGTTACGTGGTGCTGGAGGCTAATAAATTCAAATGAATGAAAGTAAAAAACATATATATACGGTACATTATGAAGTCGATATTCGGTAGTATCCTGTAGTGACTTGTTTTATGCGATCTATTTAATTTGTGTTAATTTGAAAATGGACATATTTGGCGCCAGAAAACTAGTTTCACCCCGCCACATTCTATATGTGCCTGTCCAAAGTCAGAAGCCTTTAGTTCAGTAGTTGTCGTTGGTTCGTGTTTGTCATATTTGATTTTCGTAAATTGTTTTGTTATACATTAGGCTGTTAGTTTTCTAAATTGAATTGTTTCATATTTTTCATGGTGGAGCCTTTTATAGCCGACTATACGGTATGAGGGTTTCTCCTTTTTGAATGCCGTACGGTTGCCTATAATTGCTTACATCCACTTCATATGAACTTTGGAGGATAGTTGTCTCGTTGGCAATCATATTACATTATTTTTGTAATAATCTGTGTGTGTGTGTGTGCATCAATATTTAAGTAGTACAAATTACTGAGAGTTATCCCCATTTTCAGAGTACTGATGTCGGTCATTTCTTTTCTTTTTCTCAGTGTCTATTTTATAACAAAGGATTCCAAATAGGTCTAACTGTTTTAGTGTTTAATAAACTACGCAGTTGTTTTTCTTATTTTAGAATATTATCAGTTTTTGAAAAGGAAGTGCACGGATGGACGACCGTCTTAACACGCCATGCAATATTTTTGAACGTGATGTTACTATTTGAAGACGTATTAATCTTTTTTTAATAATATTTATAGTATTTTTATCTTCAGATCATGAAATATCTATGCAGTTCCATGTTTGAATGAAATTCCTGTTATCAATAGCTTCCCTGGATCTTCATGCTACGGGAAATTTCTTTAATTGGAAAATTATTCTGGGCTTTTTACGCTCAAATTGATTTTAAATTGAATTGACATACTGTTCAGTGACTTTACATAGATGAAAAAATAGACATAGGGAGTTATCAAATTATTTAATGTGTTGGAAAATTGAACGATCAAAATATATTAACTGTAACACAATTAAAGTTTGATATATGATAATCGAAATGTGTATATATCAAAACAAAACAAATCTCTAAGTATATAGTAAATGATATATTTGTTAGTCATACTTTTTTATTTAAAGTTAGAAAGTTAGGATAATGAAAGTGGTTGATCGATAACAAACTTGTTTTAAACCGCCACATTCCCGAGTCAAGAGCTTTTGAATGTTGTGTGCAATATTTGTTTTTCGTTTATCGTATAAGCATAAATCAGACCTTTGGTTTTTCTAGTTTGACATGTTTCACATTTTGTCATGTAGGGACCGTTTATAACTGACTGTAAGGTATGGGTTTTGCTCATTTTTCATGTCGAATGGTGACCTATTATTGTTGCTTACATCTTCGTCCTTTGGTCTCGGGAGGATAGTTGTTCTTATTGGCAATCATACAACAATTCCTATTTTTTATATTAATAACGTTTTAAAGCACAAAGAGTAAATATAATTATGAAATATTAGAATTATATCTGTATGCAAACTATTACGTCAGGTTGTAAAAAAGATCGTAATTTCGGAAAATAGATCAGAAGTATTATCAAACTGTTAATTTAAAATTGCAGTCACGATCAAAGTAACGAAAACAAATGAAAGCTAGATGCCGTCATAATAGAGAGTGTGTTGAAAAGAAATAAGATAAAACTTATGAGAAAGCTTAGGGTATTTAACCTTAATATCAATATATTAACATAAAGAACATTTCATCCTGTGCTAATAGTAATAGAAGACGCATAAAACACATAACAATTTCAAATCTTCTTTTGCTCATTAAATAGCCATCGTAAATTCCACGCCCATAAGATTCCACGTAATGTCAATCAAAACATATCCTGCAGGATCAATACATATGTATTTTCAATACTATCAGAGAACAACAGAAAAAGCTGATGCGGTGTTGTAAGAGAGAGTTGTACAGATTCTATTTTCATATTGATAGCAGCTTACCAAAGTATTTTGGGAAATTTGTAGGGGAAGTTTAAAGATTGAAAAATGAATGATACGAATTGGACAGGTGTGCAAGAAAATACTTTTGATGAATTCAACACTGACAAAATAATTTTATTATGTATATATATTCCGGTATTCTTTGTTGCCTTAGTTGGAAATATTCTTGTGCTTGTAATGGTGTGTATGAACAAAAGCGTTCGGAGAAATGTCGCTAATTATTTCCTGGTAAATTTAGCCATAGCAGATCTTTTAGGTAAGTAAAATACATGACAATTACATATGATATCATTTGAACTTTGTTGGATTTTTCCAGACGCAAGGCTATCTTAGGAAAACTATATGAATGATCGTTTATAATATGCTATTATATTTTGTCGAGGGCAAAGTAGTTTTAACTTAATAATTAGCTTTGCGATAAAGTTACGAAAGAGGAAATTAATGTACGGGTTTATAAGCAAAGTAACATGCATTATAATTAGTAAGAAAGGGAAATTCATCAACTCACATTTTATCGGATTGAAATGATTAGGGACGACCATTTGATTTTTCTGGGAGGGGAAGGACCAGGAGGATGATCTGAAAAATAAATAACAAGACGGGATGAAAATGAATATGTTGCAACAAAAATGCAGGAAACAATTGTGTATAAAAGTGGAAATATATTTTCGCGCGGCTGTAGTTGTGTATATCATTGTCAATGTATGAAGCAATACCATTAAAGATTTATTTCCAAGCCATAGTACAAGGATTGGTTTTTTTATTAGGTCCTTTTTGGTTATATAGCTCTCCAACTGTTTCGGTTTTTATACATTCTTGGCTTTCAAATATTCGGCTTTGAGCGTTCCTGGTGAAGGTAAATCCAGAAAAGCGCTTCGGACGCATAAAATTTATTACGCGTTGTTTTCAATTTTTATTTAATCTAATTTTTTTTTTAAATTCCAATAAAATTAAAAACTTGAAAAGGAGATAATCAATGATGTATTTTTTTTTCTTTTGGAAAAGATTGACGTTTTATTTTGACTATCAATGGTAACTAAATGTTGGGAAAATTTTAACTGTTACGGGCGCCATCTTGAGTTAGTTGACCGTTATGGAATATCTGTGTCGACCGATGACCACAAATATGTTTTCAAATGTTGTAGCCATTTTACTGTCCTCTTTTTCCTCAATTGTGACATCACCGAAGGAAACGTAACTCTGAATTTATACAGACCACGAGCAACAAGACGGTGACAAATGTGGAGCAGGATATGCTTACTCAATCCCGGTGTTTTGGTAGGGTTCTTTAGTCTAAGACTTCAGTTTCTATTTAGTGTTTTGTAGACAGTTGTTTGTCTTTCCATCGTAGCTCTTCCCCACGCCCAGAATGTATAGGTCTCTCCTCGACGTATGAGTTTTGAATCTCCTTTGGTATATTCTGCCTAGCTCTTTTTTTTATGTCATACGAGTTTTTAGTAAAGACAGTAAATAACCGTAAGATAGTATTGAAATATTTTATTCTGCAATCAGCAAACTATTGTACAAATAAAGTCTTCTAGTATCCTGTTACTATGTTGAGTAAACGGTAATGTTAAAATTGCTATCTACGTAACAGTTCATTTTTGTGGTCCCCTTCGCGACCTGCGCTTAATACATGTCGATTTCTTTAAAATTCAAAGAAAACTACTTGGAAATAAAAAAACTAAACGTAAAAGCGTCAATCTTGAATTGCAAGATAAAAACAATATACGTGTATCGTCGGAAAATATCAAATTTATTAGTACACGCTATGAAACAAGAGAAAATCTCTGCAAGAATGCTTTTTCTTCCTGTTTCTAAAACTTATAAAAATAAATTTTATATTTTCCCACAATGTCCATATATTGTATATAGATTGTGAAACTCAAATTTATTTAATATTGAAATAATAATGCACGTCAAGCGGACACTTTAAAAATGCACTAAGAGAACTATGAGTACTATGTCTCTTTTCTGTCAGCTATAAAAGGCCCCGAAATGACAAATGTAAAACAATTCAAACGAAAATTCTAACGGCCTGATTTATGTACAAAATAATGAAACGAAAAACAAATATGATATACAGCAACAAACGACAACCACTGAATTACAGGCTCCTGACTTGGTACAGGCACATACAGAACGTGTTGGGGTTAAACTAGTTTGAAGGCGCGCCAACCCTCCCCTAACCTGGGACAGTGGTGTAACAGTACAACATAAGAACAAACTATAAAAATCAATTGAAATGGGCTTAACTCATCAAATCGATACAAAGCAGAAATACATCTATCAAAATCACAGAGTGGACGTGGCAGGGTACTTTTACATCCCCAAAACAAAAAGACACCATGTGCATATGTATATAAAAATAATATTTAGTTTGATTTTAATTTACTGATAACAAAATCAATATTAATACCAATAAAAACAATATTCAAAGATTTGATTATAGTGGTGAAATGGTAACCTTTTAGAATAAGTTTATTTTAAGGATCGTATCTAAATTTCCGGGCTCGGTTAACAACATCTCCGTAAAAATTAGGATGTGCTATCCCGTTATATATGTTTTCTCTCTCGGAGTCCTTATAGACAATATGACTACTATTACACTTTCTAGTATACGTGCTGGGAAGGCCTTAATATATATGAAGGGAATCAAAAAATGTGAAACGATATGACAGAAGGGGAAACAAAACAAGTATATAGTCTGTACACTAGTCATTTTGGGGCCCTTTATAGATTGCTGTTCGGTGTGGGCCAAGGCTCCGTGTTGAAGGCCGTACTTTGACCTATAATGGTTTACTTTTACAAATTGTAACTTGGATGGAGAGTTGTCGACCTTAGATGATTGTTTACTATCCTTTTGAACTATTTTTACTTTTTAATGTTATTCCATAGAGAAAACTATTCTAATTCTAGAAGTAGATTATTTATACGAGAAACTAAAAAACTATTAATGAGAAATTATAAATTCCACTCAGTGGGGACCTACAGTCTACTTAGCTCATAGACTCGCAAATGTTTTAATGGATCGATTTTGTGTTAAAAATAAGATTGATAAATATTTATTCATCAATTATTAGTGGATTTGACCATGTGCTACACTTCATGGGCACCAGACTTCATCCGTTGTTTTAGTTGTATTCGTGTTAGTAAGTGTACATGAAATAAGAGAATTGATATAAATCTCACGGTATATTTCATATCTAACTTTATGATAAACGCCTTTCCTTTGCTAATGGCAATGTTCCCATTTCTTGACGATGATATTTAGTTGACTATTTCTATTTGGATTTTCGTTTTTCCTACTTCTGATATTTTACTTAACTCAGTATTTTCATTACTGAAAAACTTTTACCACATGGATAAAGGAATCATAACTTGCTACAAACTTGTATCCGTCACAAATGTAGATATTTATTGAGGAAGTATCATTCTATATACAGGGATTTTATATAAAAATGTGGTATTTCATACCCAGTTTTTCATGGATATATACAAGTAAAGCAAACAAACTAGTTTAGAAATTATTAAAACTGATTTATAGTTTAAAATATTTGTGGCTTTTTTCTGTAAAAAATAATTGGGTTGTTACGAGATCGTGCCTTCGCGTACTTTTTTAATGACGGTGCTGTAAGAAATCTAATCCAAATACAACCGCCGCTATAACAGCTGGAGTAGAACAGCAGGATTTCTTAATGTAAATTTAAGCGGTATTTTAATGACTTTTTGTGGGGCTTTTGTGTTGTTGGGTTGATGTATATCCTACTTTTCTTTTTATTCAATTTGTTTCATTAAATAGGGTGATTTCAGGTATATAAAAGCATGTTTTATTTCTATTTGATAGGGTGATTTTAGATGTTTCAAGGCATGGTTTGTTCTATTTAATATAGGGTGATGTTAAGGATATAAAGGCATGTTTTCTTCTTCTTGATTTATTGGTACTGTAACATGACATGACTTCTTATACTCAAAATTGAAAAGGAAAGTACAAATTGTAGAAAGTTTGTTTCAAAGATGTTAATTTTAAATGCACATGAAATGTTATTTTAATCATTAAGGAGAAGGGGGCTTTAATGTTTACATTTACTTTTTTAGAGTTAAACTTAATTTGTTCAGTTGAGAAAAAAATGATGTTGTTGTTTGTTTTATCATTGCGAAATTGGACATATTGAACTTGCAGCATAGCCTAACAAATAAAAACCACATAATTTGCCCCAAATCCAATAAAATGTCTCATAAAAAAGTTTCTAGTGCTAAACTTTGACATGATACTTAAAATTTCTAACCCCATAAAATTAGTGCGAGATTAATTATTTTCCAATAGATTATTTACTAAATTTCTAAAGGAACTCACGGTTAAGATGAAACAAAGCTTTACAGGCGCAAGGACTGTGTAGAGGACGGTTTAACCAATAGTGCTGAAAGTGGTGTAAAACACCAATCAATTAATCAATATGCATTGTTTCTATTCATCTTTATTGTATCGTAACGCAAAATAGTTAAAAAAGTCAGTATGATGACCTTTCTAAATATATTCATAATATTGTCGAAGGTTGTAAGGTGACCTGTTACTGGTCACATATTTGTCATAGGTTGTAAGGTGACCTGTTATTGGTCACATATTTGTCATTTGGTTTTTGGTTTTTGGTGAATGATAATAACGTTAACAATCATGCAACATTTTTTTTTCTTTTATATAACATTGCGACCTTTGACATTACACAAACAATAAATAAGGAAACAATTTTGAAGCCAGAAGAAAAAACTTCGCATGCATTGCATATTGTAAAAAAAGAATTATACTCGAGAGAGTCTCATGAATGTTAGGATTACATAATTGAGTTATTTTTGATAAATCACTATAACTGCTGATCACAATTTACTGTCTTGAATTTGCAATTTCGGATAACTAATTTGGTATATTCAAACTGTCCCTATAGTAAAACTGTAAATGTTTTTTTCTCGAGTAAAACAACGCAAAGAATGGAAGTGAATCAGACATTATCGATAATGGTGTAATTACCGTAGACTTACAGAAACAACATACTAGCTTGGTCGGAAACAAATTATAAATCACAGAAGACTCATATCAAAGCATTTATTAATTCGATAACCAAAATGTGTATTCCTATGAGAATGACAATCACTGCGGATAAGTATAGAAACATCGGATATTCCGAATGATATTAACGTTTTGTTAGATAAGTTTTGGAATGGTTTCGATAGAATATAAATATTGATGTTACTATAGCA